TGAAGATGTTATGAATGTCAACATATATAGGCCCAACACTATGGAAAGTTTGAATGTGGTAGCATGACCAGACTTCTAGGTTTGTTGCAATGAGCCTCAATATTGTTATTACTTTTTGGTTCATCGTTGACTCTAACTCTAACTCTAACATCCAATTTTCTAGGAGATGAAGCAGTATGAGTTGTGAGAGTCTTTGTATTGTGGCTTTGAAGGACTCTCTATTGGTTACTGGTGGCTGCTGAAGAAAGACTGTACCAGGCTGTGTGTCTAAGACTTGTTTTTATCATCCAATATGTAGTATTTTAATTAGGATATGTTGTTTTTGACATGTTAGTAACATTTGGTTAGAACTTAGAATATGTTAATTGGTTGTGTTGTATTATTGTAGTTTTTCTTTAGAGATGTGGATGAATAGATTTCGATTAAATTTACTATTTATTGATGTTGAATAGGTTTTTTTTTTGGATTCTAACTCTACAATGTATGTAAAACAAGTTAAAAATGGTTGACTGTGTAAATGGGTTAGACGTGTTGAATGGGTTGGTCAGGTCAGGTTGGTAAAAAAGCCACAGTTTGGCTAACAGGTTGGGTAACAGCTCAAACGGGTTGAGTGACACGAACATGACTCGAAAAGTTAAACATGTCGTAGTGTGTTGTGTTCGGGTTGCACGGGTTATAAGCGTGGCGACAAATTTTTTAACCCGATTATTTTAACAGATTGTGTTCAGGTTGAGGATTCTTTGACACGAATCCGAAATAACACGACACAACTTGATTGTCACCCCTAGGATTACTTAATGGAGAAAGAGACTATTTTCCAGAAACTTTCAGTAATTACATGTTTTGTTTTGAGATTGTGTTGCAATTCAAACCCTAAGTGTGATGCCTAAGGAACCCTATATGTAATTCTTAGTTTTTCTCCATTGTTGTTGTCGCCTTCTTTCTTCTATCTTTCTGCAAGTATATAAGTTCCATAACCCACAATGAAATTTGATATACTCAACTCATCTTTACTTCCTCAAACATCATCTGCGAAACTCTAATGCTTTCCCCATCAATCCATCCATCAAACCTTAACCCTCAAATTAACACAGTCAGCCCCAATATTACTATTTACGGCTGCCACTCACAGCTTCTGAACATTGGGTTTTCTTTTGGTTCACCAGAATCCTCAACACATGTCATCCTACATCCATAATGAAGAAATCCGGAAAAGGCCATGAAGCTTATGCTTCATTCATTGTTTAGATCTCACAACTAAAGTGGCCTAGCTCTTTTATTCCTTAATACTCCTATGATTTCAATTATAGAAAATGCATAAAAATGAGATCCAAAAAGGTACAATAGATATACAATATCAGCTAGGCATAGACAAAAAATTAAAGCATAGAGGGAATAGCTGCCCTAAAACTACTATATGTTACAAGTGGAACCACAAACATAAGAACATACATCTAAGCAGTTATGTATCTCAATGAACAGAGGCATCGACTCTTACCAAAGCTTTAGGCATGGAAGGTGTCACAGGAATTAATTGCCTAGACTGTCTAATAGCCAGCTCTTCAAGCCTCTGAGTTTCGACAGACAACTAACATAAAACAAAGATGGCACATAAGCATAAATACATTTCATTGTATATAGAGGAGGTAACAACAGCGCAGTAAGTTACCTGCACATTAGTCTGAGCACGAGGAGGACCCTGGGCCAAAGTTTCAGCCATATTGAGAGTATTCGTTGTGCACGACATGCCGGAAGCTGAACCAGCAGGACCTGAAAGATGAACAGATGAAGCACTGGTGCCATTACTAACAGCCATCACAGGCACCTCAGCCAATGCTGAAGTCCACTTGTCACCACCTATCACAGCCGAGCTACCCATTGGTAAGCTTTGAATGGTAGAACTCAAGCCAGGAGATGGGACTCTTCCTATTTCAAATGCTGCTTGTCTTTCCTCAACTCCAAGAGATGGAAAGTCTCTTTTAAATGCAGGCTTGTTCATACTGGTGATGGGACTGCCCCCACCAGACAGGCCATTACCATTGCTATGGTTGTTTTTGTTGCCATTGCTTGAGTCAGTTGCTACTCTTCTAGGCCACGTCTCTTCACGTTTCCCCGATATCATTGACTGTGAACGCCTTAACCTCTCCTTTTCAAACCTACTCGGCAAAATGTCCCCCAACGGATCAGAATAGTTCCGATGCTTATGATCACCCAAAATTGACTTCTCTTTATTACGAGAGTCATAAATGTCCTTATCCCAGTCTCTATCACGGTGACTCCTACCAAAACTACTGTAAGATTGCGAGTGAGCAGAACCATTACTGCTAGAACTCCGTCGAAAATATGAGGATGTGGCCCGATCAGAATGTCCTATGTCTTGATCAATAATGTTTACTGAAGACTTATTTCTTGCAGGCTTTGATACAGCATGATCGTCTAGCATGGTGAAAACATCCTAGGTCAACTACATGTAAACTTTAGATAAAAAAAACCACTATATATAAACTAGAATGTGTAAACATAGAACAAAGAGCCCAAATTACAAAGTTTATGACAGTTACCTGAGTGCGATGAGGATGAAAGAAATTGGTGGGCTGTAGTGCCACCGCCAGTACCACTTCCACCGCTTTTCAACCATTCAGGAACTAATGAGGGCTCACTTCTGTCCATAACTAGTATGAAACATGATCAATATAAACAAGAAAAGAAACAAACTAACTTCTCTTCGGCATATTAATTCCCTCTATCCACCTCAGTATATCAATGCTCCGTCTCCACCACACAATCTCAACAAAATTGTAATGTTTCCTCGAAAAGTCAATCGAAGTTTCCAAATGTTACTCTAATTTCAGTTGTTCTTTACACCAATCACCAAAACCATCAGTGCACCCCATGAAATAACTAACAAGTACTCTCAATATGATTTTGCAAACCCTATCTTTCAAAAACTAATATTCAATAAAAGAATATGAAGTTTGAACTGTACTGTACAAGATAACTAGGCTTTGTTCTCTCTGTACACTACATATACTGTAAAGTCAATCGTCAAAAACTCCAACCATTAAGAGGGGAAAAAACTTCTATCCTCTTTCAGTGCCACAACAAACTCAAGAAAGAATTCCAGAGGCCTCGATATTCAAGAAAACCGCATTAAGAAGACCCTCATCCCAGTAATAAGATCATCAATCACTACCCACGGAATATAAACCTATTCCATCATTAGAGACGACCAAAACAGAGCAGTTCTTGAAGAAAAATTCACACTCATTACAGGAAACAGAGTAATTCAAACCCTAGTAGCGAAAACCATAAGAAAGGGTAAAATATAACTACCCGCAATAAAGAAACCAACAAAATCTAGGATTTGAACAGTGCAACAATATCGGAATATCGAGAATTCAGGACATTAAGAGAGAGAAAACTGACCAACCCTGAACTGCCAAATTGACAACAATGACCATAAGAAAGCCAAAGCCTGAATAAGACTAAACCCTAATTTCTCTGGCTCTCGCCGCCTCGTGTTCTTGTCACCGAGTAGTGAGATTCAGCCTTTGGGATATATGTGAAAAATTCTAGAGGGAGAAAGCGGAAGTTTCAATTGCTCTAGAGAGAGAGAGAGAGAGAGTTCTATTGGCAAGTCTTTAGAGAGAGGCGGTACGTATCTTGCTGTGAGTCACAGAGAGAGAACCGGAAACGCACTATCGCTTTGATTGCGCCGTAGAGAGGAAGAACTCTGGGAAGAGATTTGCGAGCGAGAGAGAGAGAGAGAGAAATTAGAGGGAGGAAGGCTCTGTTTAGCGTGTTGTGTTTGTGTTCTTGTTTACCAAGGCTTTGGTGTTTTGGTTCAACCCTATTATCTCTTGTTGCTTTACTTCTACTAAATATTAATACTAATCCATCCATATACATGTGGATAACCTATACCATGCGTTGCCATGCTTTATTATTATTATTATTCTTTCATTTGCTTTCAAACTTCCATCCACACTCTAACAAACTTTTAAGGTTGGTTACTTATTATGCCAAAAAAAAAAAAAAAAAAATCGAGGTTTGGTCACATTTTACGTAGAATAATACTATTTAAACTTAAAAATTTGACCTAATTTGATGAGATTTATAAATAATTTAAATGTCACAATAAATTAAATTTCAATAACATTACTTTTTTGATATATTGGTACGAATTCGTGTTATGCACCGAATTGACAATTCTTTCACTCTCTCACCTCTCTCTCACCTCTCTTATCTTTTCCCTCTACCACTCTTATGCCCCACCTCCTTAAAAATTCAAGAAAAATAAAATGGGAATAAACAAATTATTAATTTTGTGGACATATTTTAATGAATGGTGATTAGTTGGACATTTGATTTATTTATAAAAATTTTTAATCAAAAATAAATTTCACCAGAGGATATTCATTTTTGTTCAATTTAATAAATAAAAAATATAAGAGGCAATCATTTATGGATTAAAGACCAGCCAAGTATTTTTTTTTTCCCTACTGATTTGATATATGCGTATGTGTACATACACAGAGGTGGAGCTAAAAAATTGCCCATGAGGGGCAAAATATAACTAGAAAAAAAAAAACACCAGCTAATACAAAGGGAATTTTACGTTTAAGCATGAAAAAATATATTAAAATTCAAGACTAAAATAATATACGAAACAACCAAGCAAGTTTCATTTAGCCTCAACAAAATATGAATAAAAATAGCACTAAATATGCAATTTTTTAAAAAAATAGAGGGGCCAAGTATAATAAATTGAACAAAATTATGGTAAAAAATATGGGATAAATTAAGAAGATTCAAAATTGAGGGGTCCCAATGTCGGCTCCATCTTGAAATTTCTCCACCCACCCTTGATGCAAAAGCACTTAGCAAACTCAAATGCACCACGGTCATAAATCAGAGATTTTTGAGTTGAAATTGAAACTCCTAATTTGCGAAGACACTGAAAATAAATTTAAGCAACTTGTGCATCAGCAATGACAACATCATCACCGAGCACATTGATTGGGGCACATGTAGCTTGAGAATTTCGAAATATGAATTAGGGTGTGCATGAATGTTAGAGGAAATTATGAGCATTATCTTTTGTATGGTTGGGTATGATGAATTTTGGTTCCCTTCAGACTTATATTGTAGAGTCTTTAGGCGTATTTCTTATTTTGAGGGGTTCAAAAGTATTCTATTACTTGTAATTGGGTTGATTCTCTGTGGGGTTGCAAACCATTATTCATTCACGAGGTTTGAGACTGAGGGTTCATATATCATAATGTTGATAATGTACGCACTTTCCTAAAAGTTTGTAGCTCTATTGAATATGATTAAAAAAGTTGAGTTTTGTAGATCATATATATTCAATGTGTGAATTCTTACTAATCAACCTGCTTTTTCGAGATATATTTTTGTTAAAAGCTTATGTTTCTAAATAATAGCCCTTGTAATACCTTATCACATTCACCTAGTTCCAACTTGCATCGGAAAAAATTAAGAAAAATGGCAAGGGTGCACTCTAGATAACTTATTTATCTTAAAGTACATAGTTCAAATTTTTCAATCATTAAGTCCTCGTTCTCCTAAATATTTGGTGAGCATGTACAAATTTATAGTTTTACATATTTTCGTATTGCGTAATTATCTTTACTTTAATTTATGCATATTAGATTTGACAATTTATTTGTTTTTTAAATACGGTGTTTAACTTTATATTTTTTGTGTTTGAACTTTAAGCCAAATAAGTTGTTAAAAGTGTACCGGCCTAAAAAAATCCCAAAATATTACTCATTAATTAGCTTAGCATTTAAAAAAAATATAATAATTTGGAGCATTTGTCAAATATAATGTTATTGAAATTAATTTGGAGTTCTTAACTAGTTGTTCTAAAATAATTTAAAAAAATGACAGGAGTGATCACATAAAGGCTGCATGAAAATTTTGATCGGAGAACATCAATGTGTTTTTTTCCCAAAAAACTAGAAATAAAAAAATATTGAGGAAAAATTCCAAAAATTCTCTCCTACCATTTTTAAGAATTGGTTGACGCCGGAACTATGATATTCATGAAGAATAAATCTCTCATAATCTTAGCTTAAAGAATTGTCGAAATTCAAACCCAATAAATTATCCTATTAAATTGAGATTTATTGCCACTGACATGTGTGTAAAAAGTAAAAGTTCTTCTATTATCCCATCCAAAAAGCTAATTTTACTTTCAAAAATGTTTTACTAACACTTGCTTGTCCACTTGGCAGATGTAATAGTAGTCTGTTCACCCATGTTTTTGTAATTTGTTTAATTTTTTTCTTATTAGATGTCAAAGTAGTTTATAGGGGTGTTCACCCTACCCTATGAATACGAAATATAATATTTCGTCTTCCTACCCGATACTTTACAGAATAATTTTTCGTTAGTCTACCCTACCCGATCAAGTATGGTATTCATACCCGACTTCCTACCTGATTAATCAGGTAGAAAGTCGGATAAACACTTTTATAGCTATTATTTTTTGGATCATTTTAACAATTCAATTAAATAACATGCACCAATTTAAGAACACAATAAATCAATAACACTAAAACATAAAATAACTACAACAACAATTATAATAAAATATAATAAAATAGAAACATCAATCCATTATAATTGTTATACAAATACAATAATAATTATTTTAAGTTTAAACTAGTGAAACATGTTAAAATCATAATTGCTCCAATAGATAACCAATTCACCACAAATCATGTAACCTACACAAAAAACAAGTTCATATTTTCGTAACTCAAACATCCACAACAATAATAATATTATAATATAAATTATACCACACAAATACTCTTATAATTATTAAAAAAAAAATTAAAAAGTTAAATATATTTTTTGCAGGTAGGGTAGTAATGCGAAAATTTATAGGTATTCCCCATTTATACCCGATTTAATCAAAAGACCAAAAACTCTTTTACATTCCTACCCGATTTTTGCGACTAGTCGTTCAGTATGGTAGGATAGGGTCAGGTAGAATAGAAAATTGCAGCCAATTAAAAAATTGAACACCCCTAGTAGTCTGTTCACCTGTATTTTTGTAATTTATTTATTTTTTTCTTGTCATCCCTTTTATTTGATAAATGAGGAGAAAAACTTGATTGGCAATCTTTTCAATCTTCAATGGACTTTCATATTTGACAAGGCATTCAAACATTGCCCATTTATTTGTTGTTCGTTATTTGAGTAGTATTCTATGCTACTCTCTATCTTCTCGATTCAGCATTTGCTTCTTGTAAATCAAATATTCCATGCTAATATATACGTCTCTTTTGTCAATATTTTATATACTTGATCACTAATCTGCAAACTTTACAAAGATTAATCAAGTTCTTTTTATTCTACCTATTATAATTTTATCTTAGTATTAAAATAAAGTGCGAGAAACAAAGACTACGGGCATGTTTTGTAAATATGGTTGTTTTGTGTTTTTTGTTTTCACTTTTTTGTAAAAATGAAAAACAAAATTGTGTTTGATTCGTGTTTTCACTTCTTTTTTTGTTGCTACCCTTTGCTCTAAGCCATTCACTTGGGATCCCTTCATGACACTTTGTCTCTTGGGGTTATATGTCAATAAGGCTCCTTTAACTTCCTCCATAGTTAAGAGTCTTCTTTTCATACAGTAGGGTTATAACTAGATTTTCATATGGAATATGAAAAAGAGGTGTTTTTTTTTTGTGAACTGAGGAAATTTTTAATTTGTCACCGGCAAGTAGAGATGTGGACCCTTAGTGCATGAACCGATCACCAATTAAATCAAGACTAGTGCTTCTGTGGAGATTCAAATTCATACTAGAGATTTGAATATGATTCGTCCAAACAATTGAGATCTATCCTACCAACCAACCACATTTTTTGTCGCCTATAAAACTTGAACCCTTAATCTTAATAAGATAAAATTTTTCACAAGAGAAGTAGTAGTACCATTGGGCAAAGGCTCCATTAGTTGAAAAGAATTTAAAAACACCAATTCATGATCTTCCTTATTGAACTTGCTCTCCATCCTCAACAGATTGTTGATAATATGATTGAACAGATTTATGAGTAGAATCAAATCTGAATTGTCTTCCATCTTTAGTCCTTGTACAACTCTCCATTTTTGTTTGCATATCTAAAGGATATTCTTCATCCATACATAGTATAGATCATCATCTACGAAACAAAGACAAATTATACTTAATGCTTTCATCTAGAGATCTTTCCAATCATTTGCCAATATATTTGATAGTTTATTTTCTTCCAATGCTTTCACCAACCCCTATTACACTAACAGAATTCTTGAATCTTCCCAGTAGCCCAAAGGCATTTGTATGCATTTTATTTTTTGGGTCATAACTCAGAAAGACATTTGTGTGTTGGCTGATCAACAGGAGAAAATATCGGGCAGTGGCACCACATCATTACTGTGATGTAATGTTTGTGAGCAAGTAGAGATGGATGGCAGTAGACCGGGACGGAGGTGAGGGAGTAGTCTCGACTCCCGCACCTGTTTTAAAAATATTCGACAATTTTCAATTCACACTAATTAGAAGGGAAAATCAGATCATTTGGAGGTCGGTTCTTTGTTTGTTTGTTGACTTATTTAGACTTAAGTCCACTCAAAAAACTTGTTTTAGACTAATTTTATTTTTTTTTGTTGTCCAAAATACCCTCAATAATTATATTTAATCAAAACTTATTTGAAAATACTAAGAACTCCTAAATTAGGAATAGTATTAGTATTAACAATTTATAACTTGAGAATTGTGTTAGCATTATAATTTTTTTTCTATTATATCTATTTATATATAATAATATTAAATAGTAACATCAAACAATAATATGACAAAATAAATAAATTATATAGTAACATCTTCAATAAAATTTAATCATCACAATAGAGGAACGCCATATAGCTCATGACTACTTATTTTGTTGTGGACAATATAATAGTTTTAAGTACTCACATATAATGTTATACTATTGCAATGATTAAATTTTTAATTAAATATTACTAAATTTTTTGTTAAACATGTTATTATATATATATATATATATATATATAAATAATTTTAATGCTATCCCAATTTTCAAGTTAGAAATTGTTATATTTGAAAATATTAAAATTAGCAATGATAAATAATATTTATAATAGGGGTAATTAGGTAATAAAAAAAATTAAAATGTGTACATAAAAACAATAATTTAACAAAAAAGAGAAATTAATTGAGTATGAATATGGCTATGGTATTTAAAATTAAATAAATTCTAAAAAAATACCCACAACCTAATATCCAAGGAAAATTTTAACCTCCATCGCTATTTCACGGATAAATTTTAATCCCCGTCACCATCTCCCCGTCTATATAGCATTTAATCAAATAGCTTCTTACAGCGTTCTATTTATTATTAGATGTTCATATTAAGGTGATCCATATTTACCCGTTGACCAGATAGAGCGAGATAAGAAAGCCGCCACGGGGCAAAGGAGCCGCGCTTTTACCATTTCCTCTCTTCCTTAGTCCCTATCTCCCTGTCAGTTTCCTACCATTTTCCAACTCATAGCAGCAATAGACAACGCGTGAAGAGAGATTATAGACAGAGAGAGACGAGGAGAGAGAGACGAGGAGAGAGAAACAACACAGAGAAACAATAACGCCGGCTCGGGAGACAGAGAGGAGAGAGAAACAGTAACGCCGACTCGGGAGACAGAGAGGAGAGAGAAACAGTAACGCCGACTCTTCCTGAATCGCATCATTGTTCCCATCTCCTATTCATTCTTGATCAAGAACACGCAGATCTCCATTTCTTTATCTCGCAACAATCTCTACGAACACACTATATGTAGACATATACGTAGAGAGAGAGAGAGAGAGGGGATGAGTACGAAGCTGGAGGGACAGAGGCCGAGGTTTGTTCGACTGAACGCGAACAAGAACATCGTGTACGTCGCGTCGACCTCCTCCTCAGCACCATCATCGTCGTCGAATTCGTTTAATGATGAATCAAAACACCGGACTCGTTCACTCGATCTGTATCCGCTCAGTGATTGCACGAGTTTTCGAGTTGAAGGGGTTGAAGGTGAATTGGATCGAATTTGCCGATCTTTAGGGCTTTCCGGACCTGATGATTTTACTATTCCGGTTTCTGTTTGGGAGGCTCACAAAGCTCGTTCGCCTTCGGATCATTTTCCGAGTTCCAGGTTTCGAAGTAGTTGCAATTCGGAGAAATTAAAATCGCCGGAGGGTGTATTGTTGGATAGTTTTGAAGCTAGGGTTAGTATTAGTAATGAACTCAAGGGTGAGAACGAGTACTCTCACTCTGAGGATGGTCTGAATTCAGATAAGGATGAAGCTAGGGTTAAGGTAATGGATAGAGTTAAACACGCGGATGATAAGTATAGACAGTTTAATGTTTTTGCAAATTCGGTTAGGACGAGAACGTCTGTGTATGGTGGTAGTGGAATTAAGGGGGCTAGGCCACCAGTACTTGCTCCTCCCCCGGTTGTGTTGCGGTCTGTTACCGATAATGTATGCTCAACTTGGGATCTATGTAGGTCTTTTGGTCCAGGAGATGATGAAGGTTTGAGTTCACCTGTGTCTGTAGGGTTCGTTTGTACTTTAAACGAAGGAGAAGAAAACGAGGACGTCGATAGAAGAATTGTTGACAAACAAGAGCCGACAGAAGTAACGTTGAGAGATACGGCAATTCCTTCAGAAACCTGTTCGGATACATCGAACGATGAAAATGATGATGATTCCTTTAGTGTGACCGTGGAACCTGTGTATTTCACTTTACCTAATGGGAAATTCAGGCGCAGTATCAATTCTTGGCAGAAGGGCGACTTTCTGGGAAGTGGGTCGTTCGGAACTGTGTATGAAGGCTTCACCGAGTAAGTGTTAAGCAACTCAATACTCCATTTTATTTTACATCACCCCAGTAATGGGCAAGCTATATATAATTATCTTAAGTTTTATCGTTCTTGAAATTGGACAATTCTCACTAGAAATGGTTCAAGTTACTGGGAGAATCAATGATCAAGCAAAAAAGTCTTTGGATAGTAGTTGGAAAATACTGTAGAATAAGTAAAATATTAATAGAATATGAAAAATAGTAGTATTATGCATTGAATGAAAAAGGCATCTTACAAAGTGAAGACACAATGAGATATCAGGCATAAAAGTCCATCTGCATCTTTATATTGTTTCTCATGGTTAACAAAGTTTGAACATGAGCCAAGTAAAAGACTACAATAATTGTAGATCGTAGGAGTTGATAGCAGTCTCCATAACAATGGTAAAAGCACTGTGATCCTTAATGGTGAGTAATTGAGGGCAGTCACATCTTTTTGTTATTAACTTTGGTGTTTATAAGCCGATATTGTGGCTGAGTGAAGTATGTGGCATATAAACTCTCTGTGCCAAGTCCTTTGTATAGATGCATCACTATAAGAAAGTAAAAAAGCATTCTGTGTGTCAAAAGTTTATTGGGAAGATATACAATGATTTTGTGTTACTTGCTTCACATCCTAAAATACTTCACATTAATTGACACCAAGGGAAGAAATGGATCTTGCAGCTGCCTTGTACATATACAAGTCTGTGGCTTATGTGCGTGAAATTCTATAAACAAAATGATTTCACACTCACAATTATTGTTGATAGAGTGGAGAAATCGGGAAAAGGAGAATTGAGATGGGGTGAGCCTTTTGTTGATCACGCAGCATTACAAGCGAAGTTGTGTTATCTGAATTCTGAACCAAACTATGAAGGGTCCTTGAGTTCTTGAACTTATTGAAAGTAGCTAGTAGTGCTAAATAGATTTGATCTTAGTATCTTGCTCTCTGTCACTCATCTTATATTGTCTTTCTGCAGTGATGGTTTCTTTTTTGCTGTGAAGGAGGTTTCTTTACTTGATCAAGGAAGCCAAGCCCAGCAAAGCATTTATCAACTTGAACAGGTATGTAGAATTTGTCATGTCCTAATGGATTTCATATAGCTTGTGATGCATCATTGTATCTATATGCAAAAAAGCTATTGCATAATTATTTTGGTTGCATGGTTTCTTTATCTTACAATTGCTAATTGGTGCAGGAGATTTCTCTTTTAAGTCAATTCGAACACGAGAACATAGTTCAATATCTTGGCACAGACAAGGTATGCCTTTAAACCTTTTGGTTGGGCTGCTTCCCCCCCCCCCTTTTCCCGCTTGTCCTCTCTTCCATGTTGTGATCTTGGCATCAGAGTTCTGAAATTACCAATGTTTTTGTTTATGGCACACTCACTGACTTTAGGAGAAATTTGTCCTTCCTCGGCATCACAATTATCTTATGATGAAAACACATGGGGATAAACTGCAGAATCCACAACTTAGGAAAGAACAAGAACTTGATCTATGCTCTAGTAATGGACAAATTTTGTTCTCTCGCTCACATCCCTATGTTGAGAAACAATTTTTCTTTTTAAGAAAGAGATAATTGAAATTACCAGGTACTACCCAAATCCAGAACGACTCTGGGAGCGACCTTCCAACTATAGCTGTGACACTGCCTTTATACCAATTAGGTCTACCTTTTAGCATGATGTAGATCAAGAACATGTTTAAAAGCAGTATATTGTGCCTTTTGGTGTTGATGAACTGTTTGTTGCAAGTTGCAACAAGTCTGCAACACCTTCTACATGGCGCTGTTTTTTTTTTTTTTTTTCGGGGAGGGGGAGGGGAGAGACTTGAACCCTTGATCTCAAGATGGCAAAACAAGGAGTACCATTGGATCAAAGCCCGTGTGTTACATAGCGCTGTTAGTGATGGCCTTTTGTTGAGAAAAAAAATAGAGTTTGTACTTTGTCTAGGGTATCTGTATGCTTGTTTTTGTTCTATTTGTAGATTATGCGATTGGCGTTCATCTTTCCTCTTTGTTTCTAAAAGTACAAACTGACTTGTTCCAGGGTGATGGAAAACTCTATATCTTCCTTGAACTTGTAACCAAAGGTTCGCTGGCACACCTCTATCAAAAGTATCATTTGCGGGATTCCCAAGTCTCTGTGTACACAAGACAGATTTTGAATGGTTTAAATTATCTTCATGGCCGAAATGTGGTGCACAGGTGATACAAGTGATACTTTTATTCACCTTAAATGGTGGATGTGGTGGTTGTTATTGCCTTTTTCTCTTTGGTTGGGCATGGGGCCATTTTAATTGTTTTGTTTTTCTGAATCTCCCCATGTTTATGTTGGTTTGCTCTGTACACTCAGTCACCTATTGTTATCCTTCTTTGCATAGATTACGTTCTGCATGTGTTAAGGTTTTGCTAATATTAAGTGCATACTATCTATGGTTGGTGCAAGAGTTTGCAGATATTTCCTTTGCCTTGATCTTTTCTAGTTTTCTTTGCTGTACTTTTCCATTTTAAAGTGTTATATTTAATATAGAAATACATTTCTTTAAGCTGGATAATCATTGATCTTGTTAGAGTTCTTATTTTTATATTTTATATTTATGTAAAATAAGCTGGTGTAGAGGTAATACTGTAATTACCCGAGATATTTTTCAATGTAAATAAGAGGGTGTTGGGCAACAGAACCTACACACAACTGATTTTTTTCTCTTTGCGTCTTCTTCTCTCTTTCTCTTGCTTTCCAACCCTAATATTGCCTTCTTTTTTTTTATTTCAACTGATCTTATATGATATATGTGGTTTTGAGGCCATTATGTAACATCATAATGCTGGTGAAGTATGTAAGAAGGAACGAAAAGTATAAGGTAGAGAAAAAGAAAGAAGCAATTAAGGATGTGGGAAGTGAGTAGTGACAAGCAAAGAGAATGATCCTCTCATTGTCATCCATGTTTTTGTCACATGTCTGGTTCTTGTCTGATGACCAGAATATCTCATTATAAACTCCTACGATATTCTAATCAACTTGGCTCACCATTTGGGAAGTAGATGTGATTTTTGTAACAAGTATATTGGGAATTAGATGTTGGTTTTGCTCATGATGTTACAGTCTAGTTCAACCATATTTCCACTAAAGCCTTAGTGAAAGCTTTTACTAAGTTGTTAGGCTGTTTTAGTATCTATAGCAAGCATTTATTGTGGCGTAATTATGCCCCTCATGAAGCATAGGATCATATATTACTGGCATTGCTTATTGATGTTTTTTCTTTCTAGTTTTGAGGATTTTACTGACAAACATTGACCCTGGCAAATAAACAGAAACGCAAAAGTGGACATTTCACCAAATTGATCTTCTTCCCAATGGCAATCAGAGAACCAGTGATAGCACAATCATATCTTTCTGATAAGAAACTTTTTTTCATATTTCGTTAGTGGTAAGACTTCCTTTTTGAGATAGTCTGAACTAGTGTATTTGACTAGATTAAGATGAGCTGTTGACAATGAGGTTTCAAAATAGATTATTCAAAAGGTCTAAGTATATACCTATCCTATGCCACTGGTACGGCTTTTTTTTTCCTGCATAGTATACATTAGGATAATAGCTTTTTTTTTTTTTTTTTATTGGAACAAAATTTCATTCCATAGAAAAATCAAAATGTACAAACAATAGTGGATATGAAATCCACCTACAAGAACGAAATAAGAGAACAAAACAAATTAATAACTAAAAACAACTTTCTAGTTATATTGTAGAACTAATAAAGGAGTGTCACGAAACTTGTTAGTAGCCACAGCCCAAAGAGAAGCAAAAAACTTCACTCTGTCCTGTAATAATTCATTTTCCTCCTCCTTTTATTCAAAAATTCTGCGATTCTTTTCTATCCGCAACACCCAGAAAATGGTCAAAGTAGCACATCTCCCCAAAGTAGAACTTTTTTACTCTTTCCAAAACCATTAAATCACATTACCAAAAGAGATGCCTAAGCAAGCACTTTCACCTTGACAAACAATCTTGCTTACTAAATCATTTATTAAGGTTCAAAAATGGAATCATTTTGATCGTCACTCAACCACCGAAAATAGAAACAATAAGAAAAATTTCCAGAAGACTCGAGACCAAAACATTTTATCTCTAACTGAAGGATTTGAAGAGACCAAATCAAGCAAAGAAAGAAGGAAAGAACACTCCAAAAAAATCCTGATCATCAAGATTTTGGAAAAAAATTCAACTTTCACCCCCCAAAGGAAGAAAGATAAGATCCAACTACCCTAGACACCAGAAAATTATGGGACCCCAGCAATCTAAAGAGTCATGTAAACTGTGACGCCAAGAATGACTCACCAATCCAATTATTCTTCTAAAAGCAAACTCTTTCACTATTTCCCACCTTCAAAGGTAACATGTTTTCTAAATTCATCCAAATCTTGAGAAATAAATTTCCAAGAACTACGACTCACCACATTATGGCTTACACCCAGCGAAATTTAGATTTCACTTTTTTAAGGCAAATTGTTCAGGTCTTGGGTTTCATTCCGAATTTTTTTTTGGTTCTCTTCCTTATACTTCCATATCCCCTGTAAGTAGACGGTGGTCAATGTAGAATAGAAACCGAGAAATATTTAATAGGGTATGGAAAATGTTGCAAGGACACAAATGAGTTCAGAAGTCAAAATTGGCAATTGGGTCAATGACATGAACGTATTTTGCCTAATGAAGCAATTAGGAGGGTTGCTAGGAAGGGGAATTGAGTAATGATAAAAATCTAGAAATAGGTTGATGATTTTCTTTAGGATCAATTTGAGTTCACCATCTTTAAAGACAGGTGCTTTTCTTGTTCCTTATTTCCTTTTTGCCCTTCTCTTTTTCATTTTTTTGGCCCTACAGGTCAGTAACAATGGGAGATTTACTGTAAGAAGTAAGAAGATGCCTGCTTTATCCTATGTACAGAATTTTGTTACGCAGAGAAACCTGTATTGATAGATAAGGAAGTACTTCAAAGATGGGGAAATCAACACTATCCATCTCATGGTGATTTGAGAACAAAAATATTTCATATTTTACATCCTGATGGCAAGGGGGGAGTTTATCAAGATCCATTTAAGAATTTAACTGAATCATAGTTTGAAGTGTGAAAGAAAATCAAAAGGTGGTCATGTAGGAAAATATGAAAGAGTTGTGTCGGGCTATGGAATGGTGACACAGTGATGTTTGTGAAGTAACAAGCAGATTACACATGGGGAACAATATCTAAAACTCATTTTTCACTCTTCCATTGAAGATTATGTTTTTATTAGGTGTATCTGTTATATTAAAACTCTTGAGCGTCAATAGAGCAGTTTTTGTATCTCTTATATCTCTTACTATTTCTCCTTCCCTCTTAACTCCTGCCTAACAATCAAATAGGAATTAAAGCTTTTTTATTGTAATTACATATAAAGGGAAGTAAGGCCATTTCTGTTTGCCAGCTGTAGATGGTGGTCATACGGATGCTCCTAGTGATGCTTACATATTCGCAGGTCTGAAAGTAAAACATTACCATTAGTCTTTTCTCCTCGTGCTCTATCATCTGGTGGTGTTGGGTAATCAGGAGCTCATCGGAAACTGTTACTTAGGCCATGTCTCCATTTCTGTGTAACCTCCCAAGTTACAGGTTGAGTCATTGTGTCTACCAAGAGGTCGGGTTGTCTGGTTACGTACGAAAGATCTGCTTGCTAATGTGTCAGATAATTAGAAAATCTGGGATTGTTTACAAGCTTGGTTATTTCATTATGAGGCTACAGACTGAGCTTTTCATCTTCCTTGCTATTAGAATGCTGCTTTATAGTTGGATTTCTTTAATTTGGAGCTTACAGCATCTCGTTGCTGATACCTGAGTTACTTCATTGTTATGTATATCTTCTGTATCTTGATTGCTTGCTTGAAGTTCTTTGTTTTGTCTATGGTTGGACATTGATTTGGTAGATTAGACATTTTAGTGCTGAAAAGCCACTGAAATGAGTGTTTGTTGTCTGTGATAGAATGGAAAAGAGGGAGAGTTTGGAGTGATTGATTGTTGGACGTTCCATGCCCTAATCTGAGGAGTGTTTGAGATGTTCTGTTTATAGATTTTCATGTGCATATATGATATATCGACAAGTGAACCTAAAATTTTTCAGTGAATTTGATGTATATTCTTTTTTCTAAGACTTTTTCATCTCTTTCTCATCTTAAAGGGATATCAAATGTGCGAATATATTGGTGGACGCAAGTGGATTTGTGAAACTTGCAGATTTTGGGTTGGCAAAGGTTATCTCTTTCAGCCCAATTCTATATATATATATTTTTTTTCATTTTTTTTCCCTTTTGGTTGCTGAACTGCACATATACTGTATATTCTCAGGCAACAAAATTGAATGATGTAAAATCTTGCAAAGGCACTGCATTCTGGATGGCCCCTGAGGTTTGTCTTAAAGTCTTAAATTTATTTAATTTTTATTATATAGCTCTGTCGATGCGATGACCACCTGTGAGTAATCAGAGAAGCATCCTACAGAAAATGCATTTTGATTCTGGCATGGGCACATGCATATCTATACATCTCTTATTTTTTATCTTGGAAAGTCAGAAGTCAACGATTAAAGTTTGTCTAAATTATATATAATTATTGGGGAACAGTCACAGATGCCTTTCTATAATGGATTGTCATGACTTAACTGTCTTGAGAGATTATTGAGGTCTGAGCATGAGGTTTCTCTTAGTGCTGGGTTTTACTAGGAACACAGTATAAATTGATGTCATTTAGGATTTTGTCAATTCTCTCTTTTTTGCACCTAATTTTATGTGTTAGTGAAAGAACATGTTACTTTAATTCCAGTAAATGTATGTTTGTTACATCCAATTCTAAAGTTGAGACCACCACTTTTGCAAAAATTTGTCATCTGGACTTTTGGGTTTACTGTGAAGAAAATCTGTCTTGGACCTGTTATAATTGGCCATAGAATGCTTCCAGCACATTTATTCCTATTTGTGTGGTGTAAAAGAATTGATATGCATTGTCAGGTTGTTAACTGGAAGAATCATGGCTATGGGCTTGCAGCTGATATATGGAGCCTTGGATGCACTGTGTTAGAGATGTTAACTGGTCAAATTCCATACTCCCACTTGGAAGGGGTAGGCATGGAGTTCATCATAAGTCTCGTATTTATTTTCATCTTTCCTAAAGTGCCATGTTATTTGTCTGTCCATTTCTTATGTTATTGCGCTTAGGGGTGCAACTTTGCGGGCTAACTTGAACCCAACTCAAAAAAATCAGTTCTTGGGTTGAGTTTTTTAAAACTTGGGTTGTGCTTAGAAAAAATATCCTCAACCCAAATTGAAGTCGGGTTGGGCTTGGGTTGAGGTTTCAAGTTCACAGTTTCAACCCGAGTTTTTATTTAAGCATTAAAAAATCATGTGTGTTATTTAAGCATTAAAAAAATATATATAAAAAGGGCCACACAATAAAATATTGTGTTATTCACAGTCATCAAGAAACTTTTATAGCACTAGAGGGAGTTCAAGTTTCCTAGTTGAACCGATGTGGGATGTTGAATAAAAAGTAAAAGAAGACATCTAAGTAAAAACCTCACATTGGTTGCACACAAAAAAAATTTCTTCCTCCTCTTGTATATAAAGAAGGAAAACTTCATGTGACTTGTGTCTTTAATGCGCTTGATTTTCATCGGGCCTATGTGAGTTTCATAAAAGACTTAAGGTGCTAACATATAGAAACTCAAATCTAACACAAAAATTGAACCGATTTAATAACTTGGGCTCAGCTTGAGTGAGCAGTACTTGAGTTGAGGTGTTTCAGGTTAAGATTTTTATAAATTGGGTTGGGTTTGGGTTAGCCTCTCTACCCGTCCAAGTTGCAGCCCTAATTTTGCTACTTTTGTTCTACTTTGTGCGAACATTCTAAATGCGTATGTTCTTAATAAACTTGTGCAAGTAGCCAATGTTTTTAAGGTTGCAATTAAAAATTCTTAAGTTTCAGTTGAAATAGTATAAACGATATTAGGGTTAGACGAAAGAGAGAATAAGCGAAGAGAAGGAAGGAGAGAATAATCTATTATGTGTAGTCTACCCTACACCCTCTTATTTATATTGAACAATAATTCAGGTAACTACAATATTACTCTACACTAGCTTATGCTCGTAAACATAAAAATAAGAACTCTAAAACTCCCCTTCAAGCTGGAGTATATGGAGTATAAAGATTAAAAATGTCCACCTTGGAACAAAGATTATTGAAGGTAGAATGAGACAATGGTTTGGTAAAAATATCACCTAGGTGATCACCAAACTTGATATATGGAGTGATAATCTCCTTTCGCATTAGCAAATCGCAAATAAAATGACAATTCGTTTTGATGTGTTTAGCGTGCTCATGAAATACTGGATTGCTGGCAACCTGATTATCGCAATGCATCTGCATATGAGAGGGGACACTAATACCTATATCACAAAGTAGAGAATGCACTCACAATATTTCACATGCCGTGAGCCATAGCCCAATCCTCAGTCTCTGCACTAGAACCGTACAACTACATTGTGTTTCTTGCGATGTCAAGTAACAAAATTACCACAAACAAACATGCAAAAATCAAATTTAGATCGTCTATCAATATGACTACTTGCCTAGCCAGCATTAGAAAAATTAGTAATAATCAGACATGGTGAAGACTGATATAATAATCTTTTCCCAAGTGCTCCCTTAAGATATCGAAGAATAAGATAGGTAGCCTCCTAATGAGGCTTGCAAGGAACATATATAAACTGACTAATCACATCAACCGCAAATGTAATATTATCAACCAACCTTCGATAGTGCCCTATGTCATCAAAACTTTCCCCCGCATTATCTAACTTGACTGTAGAATTGATAGGAACAGGATGAGCACCAAGAGTACCAGTTTCAGATAATAAATCCAATACGTATTTTCGTTGGCATAAATATATTTTCTTTTGACCGAGCAACATCAATCTCAAGGAAGTACAAAAGAAGACCTAGATTTTTAGTATGAAAATGCTTTCCCAAATAGAGCTTAAAGTTGGTAATACCATTAAAATCATCACCACTAATGATAATATCATCAACCTACACAATGAGAATGATAGCCCCTCGGGTAGAACGGCGAATAAACACGAAATGATCTCAAGTAGAGCACTCAAAATCATACTGAAGGACATTGAACTTATCAAACCAAGCACATGTGACTATTTTAGATAATATAGTGCTTTCTTAAGGCGACATACTAATTATTCCTTGTCAGATGTAACATAACTTGGAGGTTGAAGCATGTATACCTCTTCTTGTAAATTTTTTTTAAAAAAAAACATTCTTTATGTCCAGCTTGTACAAAGGCTAATCATGACAAGCTGCAAGCGAAATAAGAATTTTAACAGAGTTAAGTCGAGCAACAGGGAAAAATGTCTCCAAGTAATCGACACCATATATATTGTTGTAGCTGTTGACAACCAACTGGGCCTTTAAACGCTCGACAGATCCATCGATATTTTCATAGTGTAGACCCAATGACAATTATCATGCCGTTTTTCAGGAAGGAGTAGATGAAAAGTTTTTCCCCGTATGAACCAAGTAGATGAACAAATGTAACACAACTAAAAATACAAGGAGTCAAACCAAATGAAGTGTAGTAGGATAAAACAATAAGAAGAGATATTTGTTACCTAAGACAGAGGAAGGCATTTGATTAATAAGATAAACGGAAGTAAGAAAAACATCAACCTAATAGTGCTTGGGAACATGCATATTAAACATTAAAGTATGAACTACATCCAATATATGACAATATTTTCATTTGGCAGTACCATTTTGTTAGAATGTATGATGAGGGTAAGAAGTTTAATGAATGATATCATGGTCAGCACAAAAGGAATGCATAAATTATTGAACATACTCAAGAGTATTATCATAATGAAATATTTTTAATGTGTTTATCAAATTACACAAGATTTCATTATAGGTGACACATTTTTGGTAATTTAGAACGATCCTACATAAGAAACAACCAAGTTATTCGAGAAAAATCATTAACAAAGATAACAAAATAATGAAATCTGGAAATAATCTTTATTCTTGCAGGACCCCAAATGTTTGAATGAACAAGATTAAAAGGACTAGACTCACAACTATTATTACTATTAGAGGAAAAAACTACAGTGATACATGCCCAATTGATAACACATTCTAGAATAAAAGGACTGCAAGGACGGATGCTCCAATCGAAAATGTTACTAGAGTGGAGAAACTATAGCACTCAAGGCTGGTATTGATTTTCTAGATAACAAGTAATAAAGACCATTTTGCTCATGGCTAAATCAATCACCTTTTTTGTTTGGAAGTCCTAAAAAAAACAAGAACATGGAGAAAAGGTCATGGAATATTGTAAAGTTTTTGTTAATTGACTAACAGATAACAAGTTAAAAGGAAGATAGGGAACAAATAACCCAGAGGTTAAGGACATGTATTTAGTTGGATGGAAATTGTCTGTTCTACGCACTGGGCAAAAGGGACCATTAGCCAATACAATATGAGAGTTAGAAAGTTGGAAAATAGAAAACACAAAGGAAAAACACTAGCTCCCGAATCACTGATCCAATAAGGTGAAGCTGATTGGGCACATATGAAGAATTGCCTAAGCCAAACCTACAGCAGAAATAAATCCCTGAGAAGATAACAAGGATAATTATTGGATGAGCTAACCGAGAAAAGAAGTAAGATTGTCATGAGAATATGACGTAGAGGTAGAAAGTGTTGCAGTAGATGTTTGAGATACAGGTGGAGTTAAATCATCCGAAGCCTGATTAGCAAAGGCAGGTCTCTTATACCCCATCAATAATCCTTAGTTTATCTAGTGGCCCCACAATAAGTACATTTCCGCTTAGAGCGATTGTATCACCACGGCTGAAACCTCTACCACTGCGACTACCACCCGAGGATGAATGCAGACCACCACCATTACGGTCACCACCACGACTACCACTATCTCTACGACCACCATTACTAAAGAGTAAAGGGGAGGATTCCAGTGAGGGTGAGGGAGTCCCACGGGTCAAAAAGGCTCTTTGAAGATGAGAATAAATATTGGCAGCAGTTGAAAGTTTTGTCACTGGATAAGAATAGCGCAACCTGAAACTCTACATGTTGGCATTGTTGTACCTCTATATTCGCACTCAAGAGCTGATAAAGTAAAACAATAATTCTTTTAAAGTGTCATAGTGCTCAACCAGAGACTTACTGGCTTGCTTGGTACTAAACATATGCTCAAAAAGTTCATAGATCCGAGACACATTATGTTCTTGTGAGTACCTCTCCTCAAGAGAGTCCTAAATCATCTTAGTTGTATCAAGAAGTTGAACATTAAAAGATACACGAGGCACCATACTAAGTCTCAACTAAGTCATTAACAAGGAATTTTCACTCCATCAGTCTTTAAATTTTTTT